CCCCCCACCCCCACCCCCCGTTGCCAATTTTGGCAAGCATTCTGTTTCTCAGCACTGAACTAAAAGTAAATACAACATTATGCTGAATTTTTTTTCTCGCCACAAAAAGGATACATATCTGTGTCTTGAGTGTACGTGTGACAAATTAATCATTTTGTATGTTGTGGTTGTGTCATGCCACCGTTATTTCAGTTGTTTGGCTTTATCTCACTGGCAGGATGATTCTCTCACACAACAAATCCATTGTTTTTCTTCCAAATATATATGAATAAATATATATATAGCAAACTTGCAAGCAGGGCTAGTTATTTGTATTTTTTAAGCTTACAGTATACCGTCCGGTGCTGACAAGTACCTAGCACCTCTTCTGGATTTCTTGCACAACTTCGTTTAGCTTTTGTAAATTTTAAAAACAAATATAGAGACACCTATGTGTTTGAAATATAAATGATATATATGGATTAGCATGTAACTGTATATTATTAAACATGCAATGAACTGACTGGTAAGTGAAGTCTAATCTTATGGCTAGCAATGTAATTTATTCAGACTGTATTTTTGTACAGAGCAGTGCACACTAACCTATTGCCTCTGTGTCCTCTATAATGCCTAAAACTGTGCCTAGAAATTTCATTTCTGTCTTTAAAGGAAAAAAAAAAAGGCAACTAAATGCTTCATGTTGTTGATGTTTTTTCTGATGTTGTTCTTTATTTATTTTTGAGAAGTGTATGGTATGTTTATTAAATGAATCCATCAAAATATTGTTCATTTTAAACTGTCATTGTTAGCAGGGAAAGACACTTTTTTTTTTTTTTTATCAAGACTTTTAAGTTTGCAGTTTTAATACCATTTCTGCATTTCACGATTTTTGTAGCTTACATAAAGTTATATGTGAAAAAGTAACTGAAATAAAAAAAATTGTTACACTAACCAAATGTGCCTGTTTTGCTCCGCGTGGAATATATATGGACACAGCCGAAACTGGTCTGGTTTTCTGTTGGGCAGGCTGAGAAGGAACAGTCTGCTTAGGCTAATGAATATGCCTGATATTCAGTTACCATACTAAAGGAATCTTATCAAAATATAGAGGGGGGGAGAGAGAGATGTAGGATCTTGCTGATGTAATCCCTCCATCTCACCTGGCCATAGAATAAATAGCGCAGGGCAGGTGTCTGGGTGTCACACAGCCCATAATGCCTTTATAAAAATGCAATTATTGTAAATCAGAAAACCAAATTGCTTTTAATGTGGTAAATAACAAGGCCATGTGTTGAAATGGGAATCTATACTGAGCACCTTGTTCCAGTGGGGAAATTTATTCATTATATACACATTTCTTTCACATTTCCAATAACTAACACTTTTTTCCATTTTGAGTCTGAAAGTCAGGTTACTTTTCACCCTGAAAAAAACCAGATACTGGTTTTGAACCTCAAATGTGGTGTTGCAAAAATGGAAGAGCATGTTTAAAACATTGAAGATGTGATACTGTGTTGTTTCTGCTGTGTGATAACATACTGTCATCCTCTGCCTCACTGGGTACCTCTCATGTGAGCAGGCAGCAGCGTGAAGAAGAGGCTGCCAGCAGAAAGTGATAGGAGAATCAAGGGCAGAAGCCTTGGCTTCAGCGGACCGTTGCAATGAGCAAGTAGAGGCACGAGGGTGGGGTGCACAGAGTGGAAATCAAGTAATAGAAAAGGAATTCAGAGCAAGAAGTGAGTGTGATGGGTGGCATGGAGCCGGAGAAGGATGGGGGATGTCTGAAGATTTGTTTTCTTTTGAACTGCAAGCACAATGAGGGAGGAAGTTCATAGGGAATTATGACTCCACAGCGACTGGGGAGCAAGGGATCAAGCCAGAGGAGATGGAAGGCATATTTCTTGAAATCTGCATTAAAATTCTGGTTGTAGTGGGTGTGGCTTTAGGGGGCATATTGCGAAGGGTTTGACCTGGGCTTAATGCCCAAATTTTAGGTCATCTGTGTGCCTACATGTTGGCACAAGGTCAGAGAGGCCCACTGGCTTAGCAGGGGAAGAAACTAAGTGTAGGGTGAGGGTGCCTTACTCAAACCTTGTCTATCCAAACATGCTGAATGATAGGAGCACTGGTCTGGCATGAGCTGGCATGCCCTACATGTGCTGAAGACATGCCAGCAGACTTGGCAGTCTTGAGTGGCATCTCACAATGTGTTTGGTATCCATCATAAAAGTAGGCCTGCACTCTGCTGCTGAAC